CACAATTCCTTGTTGTTCCTGTCGCCAGTGTCGCATTTGCAGGTGGCTCGACCTTGCTATACACATATCCATTCGATTCAGAGGGAGCAACGCCACCACCAGTGCTGCTTCCATTGTGCATGCCGCCCTGTGGAGAGAGACAAATGGCTGTACCGTAGATCTTGCTTGCTGGCTGTAGATTGTCGCAGTCGTATGAGACCCATGGGTTGTATTTGCGTACATCACGATCTTTCAGGGAGTACGCGTACTCGATATCTGAACAATTGTCGCTGGGTTGGATGGAATATGTCTTCTCACAGGTTAGGGGAAGGCAGAATTTGAGTCCCGAAGAGAGGGAACTGCAGTCAAGGATCTGATTTTGATTTCCCATGTACAATGCCGCTGAAGAAATGCTCGTGTCTTCGGCGATCGATGTGCAAGTGTCGCCGTCCACGGTGGTGTAGAAATTATCCGATCCGCAGAATTCAGTTTCCTTTTCTGGGGTATTGCGAGGGATTTCCAGGACTGTGGTCGGGGCATTCAATCCGCAACGCTTATTGATTGCTTGCAGGACCGTCTGATAGTAGTCGTCGTACGCAGAGTAAGGGGTACGTTGCATCATTTGAAGGCGTTCGGTATAGCAGTAAGAGCATAGCTCGTTATCAGGCATTGCTGCAGTATTAGGGACCAAGGTGAAATCATCAATGACATCTGTCAACACCGGTTAGATGAGTTGAGTAATAATTAGAGGTGTTTAACGTACCATTGCAATACTTCCCTGAGCTCTTATCCTTGCTGCATGTTTCGTTATAAGCAGCCCAAATGCGACCACCGAACATCTCCGCAGGCGTTCCACTGATGTTGTATCCGGCACAGTTAAGTTGCACCGATTGATACCATCCCTGGAGGTTCTGACCACAAGTCGCATCACAAACCGACTCAGTCAGGGTATCGTTATTCAGAGAACCGTGATATTTGGCGGACATCATTGAGTTCAAGACTGGGTCGCATTTGATTCGTTCCGTCATCGCCGACTGGCAGCCGATTGGAAGATCAAGAGGTTCCAGTGTGGAGGTGCTGTAGATACTAAACCCGTCGAATTCTCTCAGGCCCGCGGTTTGATTTGCACCACCAAGCCAAGCAAGAATAGACGAGAGAAGACCATTCATGTTGTCTTTGGCATAAGTGGGTGTTCCCTTGTAAGGTGTGATCATCTCCACAATAGCCCTAGTGCAAAGATTATACACCCAAACATCGGTACTTTGTTCAACCCCGAAAGCCCGTTGCTGACAGTCATTCGTTTCGAGGCAGTCTTGGGAGTAATCCGAAAACCAGCTGTAGATACCAGTGCCAAGCACCCAAATAGAGGAGGACTCGACGATGCGAACACCCCAAGATACCGCACACTTGGTTGAATCACTCTTGCAATCATCAAAATTCGGGTCATTGACAAACATGCCTGGTGTGAAGGGGACTGGGGCTTCCGGCGAGGGTTGGTAATAAGGCGATTCTGTCTGAATCATTCCCATGAGAATATTCTGCGCCCCCGAAAGCTGGTACTGGTAGAGAGTACTGTGTTCCGATGCAGTACCATAAAGCCATGCCAGTTGACTCTCGATCAGAATACCACGGGCTGCGTAAACATCAATCTGATCTTGGGAAGAGACGTCAAGGTCATGGTCAGCCACCCAGACCCAGATGTTCTCCAGGTAGGCCGTGGAAGATGAAGTCAGATGAAGCAAAAGAGATGCAGCAATACAATCTTTATTGACACTTCCCGTGTTCTTTGGACACTGTTTGTTCTGGAGGTTCGACCCTACAGCACCGCCAATGCGGATGTGAGAATCCCACATAGCAGCCGATCCCTTCACTGATTGCTCAACATTCCACTCTACAAGAATCGCACCCGCCGTAGGGCCAGAGACTGTGAAAAGTAGATCTTGAATTTCCACTATGCCAACGTCACCGGAAGCACCGACCCTAACGGCAACTCGGGGATCCTCCGCATCTGCAAAATTAGTACCAGTTGCCATGATCTGAGACCATGCCTGACCCATAATGCGTGATCCAACAGGTACATGCAATGTATCATGAATCATGTAAACACCGTGTGGAATGTATACAATAGACGAAAGATTCGCAGCATAAGACAAAGCGTAATTGAGAATCGCAGTGTCATCCGTAGTCCCGTCGCCCTTGGCTCCAAGGTTCTTAACATTGACAATTTGGTCGGCTGCGAGAGTCTCGTATTGAGGTCGACGACGAGTGAAGAGGTTAGAGTCAACATAGGCTTGTGTCCCTAGTAGCTGAGTCGGTCGCAAAATAGCAGGGATATCCTCACCATCAGCAAAGGATCCAACTCCAGATGCATCGCTGACCATTCCGAAACCCCATGAAGCTTTGCGGACCTCATCACCACCAGCAAGAAGAATTTTATTCTGAACGGTATCAATGATTGCGGTCTTGACGTTGAAGAATCCGACATTTTGCAACAACAGAGAAGTCGAATTTTCCGCATGAAGTGAGGTTATGATTCCGTTCGGGGTATTGGCGATGATGGCATCAGTCAAGATGAGAGATCCAACACCTTGGCCCGTACTCGAAGGTCCTCCGGCCTATCTAGATTAGCATGACTTGCCAAATGCCATTCAGCTATTTTGTCTATGACTCACTCCACCCACAATTGTGAGTCCATTCGTGCAAGATTCAATAACGTAGTCCTGCATGGTCCACGCCCAATCCCAATGAACCTGAAGAGCGGTGTTGCAGTTCACGAAGGTGAGCTGACTTGAAGTGAACTGTTGGTTACCAAAGTAAGCACTATGCATAATTAATTAGACCCCATTGATATTCAAACTGCACAAGAATGTCATTACCCAAAGTTGCCTCCCACAAACGTAAGGTCAGCTAGAAAGCCTCCAGATCCATTCTCCATGTAGATTCCTTGTTGCGTGTTCGACGGAACATCTGAATTGTATACCATGTAAAATTCTATGTTTTCCAGCGACGTCCCTTGCGCAACTTGCCAGTGGATAGCACAGATGTATGCCGAGCGGTCAGTTGGTCTGATGTCGATTTTGAAGTTTCTAACGCTGCGCAAGAAGTTATTTTGATTAATATACCACTCTTCATTGTCACTGACATAGACATCGGAGGTAATGACGCCCAGGCCAACGAAGCTGGATGCAGCCAGGATGGTAGGAACTTCGAGGGGCTGGTGGCTGTCAGTGATTAAACAGCACAAGCATGCAGAACAATCGCTCAGCAGCATTGCTCGAAGAAACTTACATCACCCAAAAACTCAGTATTATAGTACTGAATGATTGGCGAGCTAACCAGGTATGTTCCGGCAGGAAACCAGACTGTCGCAGGGTAGATAGTACTTGATCCACAGCCGAGGCCGCAGCGTCCACCGTCCGAGATAGCCTTGTTGATGGCCTCTGTATCGTCTGTGACACCATCTCCGACGGCTCCATACTCGCGAACATCTCTCCATACCTATTTTGCGTCAAACTTAAGGAAATTAATGAGAGGGGAAGAGGGCGGGTACTTTATAACCAGCTGGAGCAAATGGACTTTTTCCATTTTGTTCCATCGTAGCCATCCAGTACTTCGAAGTACTAGCTCGCTTTTGGATTGCTCCATGGGTTGTATCATTGCCAAACACGATGCCATCGGTAGTACCGGTCGATAAAAAGTCACTCAGGCCATTCGAATGTACCAAGGCCTGGCTTGGGGCATTGGTATCCCTGCGACCCTTTCCGTACTTATTGCGAATCTGGGAAGCCACGAGACTGTGATTTCCAGTCGGCTTGTTTGGAGTTGACTCGGCGACAATTCGAGCTGCGCGGGCCAGCTCAGTCGGGATTGAATATGCCTTGTTTCCGCTGGACGGGGTAGCTGTTGCGTCACGGTGGATGAGATGAGGACTCTCAACTGCTTTAGGACTATAGTCCAGAGGCGTGGCAGCCAATTTGGAGTTCTTTTTTGCTCCCTGTGATTTATCAAACGCCAAATTATTAAAATTGGGGTTCGATGTTCGATCTTTGTTGACTTTTGCGAGAGCTGCCAAAGCATCTTTCACTATAGTCGCGGCATCATTGCTGGTAGCGTTACCATGACTCCGGTGGTGAAGACTTGTATGGCGGTGGTGAATATTATGATCTGCCGATGCGCAAGCTGCGAAGACAAAGGCAATTGTCAAGCTGAAGATCAGACCCACCGATCGCAGCTGATGAACCGCCGATCTCCTGTTGAGCTTCATCTTGCCAGCAACATTCAGAAACTCGATGCTGAAGGGATATGACTTTTGGGCTTTCTGTGAGCGAGAATCCGGTCATATGCGATTTTAGTCTAGGCTCACTTTCGTCGGTTCTCTTATTCTGGGGGCCGAAAAAAAGCCAGAAGCAATTTCCGCGATGCGACCATAAATCTACTAGTTTGATCGCGGACCCTTCGGAGATGCCCGTGCCAAGCCGGCCAAGACCTGCCAAGGCGCACAAAGTAGGGTCCGATCTCCACTTTCAGTTCTTAGTTCCGCCCTAAAGCATGTCGGGACCAAACGATCTCATCGTCAACCTCACAAGGGCCTTGGCTAGTTGATTCGGTGTCTCAGTTGCATTCCTCGCCGCTATCGTTCTTTTCTTGGCAAATGCGCTATTGACTACTCATTTCATCGCTACCAAAATATGAAACATGTTCCTACGAAAATGTCGGTCGTTAGCGAGTGGTCCCAATATTTACCTTCGGCTAGATCCTTCCGAAGTGGGAAAACAAGGTAGGCCATTGGTGAGAAGTATACGCTAGATGGAAGCGAATCGGGGGGCCAAAATATCCTCATGCAACATCATTTCATTTAGTCCGGTGGCGACCCGGGGGCAGCATATCTTGGCTAATATAATTTTGATAAAACAGAACGGAGAATCATATTGCCTTAATGAGCTCCCAGCTAGACTTGATACCCACCAAGAGATAATATCCTCCAGCATCTCTCCTGTTATGCTGGGTTCGTTCAGCCAGAAATGATCACCATACGCCCAACTGGAGGAGCCCTCCTTTGGCTCCTTTTGATCTCCTTCTGCTTTATATTTACCAGTGCCAATGCACAAGATTGCAGTGCTTTGAACACATGCGCTACTGGATGCTGCAACAAAGGCGGATACTGCGGAATCGGTGATGATTACTGCGGTTCCGACTGCGTTGCGAATTGTGATTACGAGCCAGAATGCAGTGTCTCGAAGCCCTGTGCAAGTGGATGTTGCAACAGCTATGGCTATTGTGGTCTGGGACCAGACTGTGAGTTTCTCAATCCTCTAAAACCTAGTTACCGTGCCTTTCTAGAGCATATTTCTGACATGAAATTTCAGTTTGTGCCGATAAGGTTTGCGTGGGAAACTGCGACAGCAAGGCAGAATGCGATCCCGGCAAATATGGTGACTATGCGGAATCTTCCAAATGTCCATTGAATGTCTGCTGCTCGAAGTTCGGCTTCTGCGGCACTACCGAGGAATTTTGTGGCAAGACAAAAGTCAAGCGCCCTTCCTGTGACAAAGACGGATCTCTCAATCGAGTCGTAGGGTACTACGAGGGTTGGAGTCCTTCACGTCGCTGTAATACGTTCTACCCCGAACAAATCCCCGTGGGCATCTACACACACTTGAATTATGCTTTCGCATCGATCGATCCAGATACATTCGAGATCGTCGCGGCCACCGAGAGCGAGAAAAAGCTGATGACGCGCTTGACAGATCTCAAGAAGGTCGATCCCGATCTCAAAGTCTTCATTGCCGTTGGTGGCTGGACTTTCAATGATCCTGGAGCCACCCAAACTCTGTTCTCGGATCTCGCTGCGTCGGAAAGCAATCAGAAGAAGTTCTTCAAGTCCCTCCAGAGTTTCATGTCCACATACGACTTTGATGGGATTGATCTTGACTGGGAGTATCCCGTGGCGGATGACCGTGGCGGTCAAAAGAAAGATTTCGACAACTTCCCCAAGTTCTTGGCCAATTTGAAGAAATCCCTCAAGTCTACTGGTGGCCGCGATGGAGTCAGCATTACACTGCCCGCTTCTTATTGGTATCTTCAACATTTTGATATCGCAAACCTACAAAAACACGTCGACTTCTTCAACATCATGACCTATGATATGCATGGAAAATGGGACTTGGGCAGTGAATGGGTTTCCCCTGTGCTCGACTCTCATACCAACCTAACAGAGATTACCAATGCTCTCGATTTGCTCTGGCGAAACGACATCAAGTCTGATAAGGTCGTCCTGGGTCTTGCATTCTACGCTCGAGTATTCACTGCTGCTGACCCGAGCTGCATGGAGCCTGGTTGTTTGTTTGTTTCCGGTGGAAACGCTGGGAAATGCAGTCAAGAAGTTGGCATCTTACTGAATTCTGAAATTATGGACATCATGGATAAGCAGTCCCTACAGTCCACGCTGGATAAGGAGGCTGCCGTGAAGATTCTCAAATTTGACGACAACCAGTGGCTTACCTACGAAAATTCAGACACGTTTAAGCTGAAAGCCGACTTTGCCCGAAGCCAATGCCTTGGTGGTGTGATGGTGTGGGCGGTTTCCCATGATTTACCCCAAGGTAACTTTTCCCGAGCTCTTGGAGATGCCGTGGGCCGAGAAGTGAAGTCCCTTGTCAACAGCGGTGAATTAGCGTCAATGGAGGTCAAAAAGACCCATCCGCAGTGCAAGTGGACGAATTGCTTCGACGATTGCCCTAGTGGATGGTCGCGGGTTCGCCGTACAGATGACGGTGCCCGTGAAGGCGAGCACATGTGGGATTCTACCGCATGTAGTTTTGGACAGCATACGTTCTGCTGCCCTCCTGATGCCGAACTTCCCAAATGTGGATGGTATACCCATAACAATGGCAAATGCAATTCGGAGTGTCCTTCTGGCTACACTGAGATTGGATCCAACATACAATACTGTTCTAACGACTTTAACGACTACCAAGCTGCTTGTTGTACAACTGAAACTCCCAGTATGAAACTTTACTCCAAGTGTGACTGGGCGGGAAAACCACGGAAATGCGACGAGGAATGCCCTAGTGGCAAGTCCGAGGTGGCTCTGTCAACTACCGGCAGTGGTGGTGTATACTGCGACGTTACTTCTTTCAAATACACAATGAACGGCCAAGAGGGCACAAGTTGGGAGGAACGCAGCTACTGCTGTAGTGAGGAAGACGATGTTGAATGGAGTAAATGCGAATGGCGTGATGACATTGGCCTGATGCTCGACAAAAGCTATGTTGACGGTTACTGTCTCCCCGGCTGTCCGGATGAATACGTGCGTGTCGCTATTGATCAACACGGTGGTGGTTGCAAAGGCGACGGTGGCCGAGCCAAATGCTGCTTGCCAAAATATTCAACAGTCAGCAAGAGATCATACACCACGCGGGAACAGAGTCTTGATGACTTGATTAAAGGGTTCATGGATGATCCGAGTTGTGGAGCGGACGATTACAACTTGAAGAGGGATCTCGCGGGCTTTGAATATTCTGCGGGAAATACCTCTTTGTCCGATCTGTCTGGTACTCGAACTCCAACAACACTTCAACGCCGCTCAACAACCAAACAGCTAGATGCTATCTATACTGTTGCATACGCCCTTGCTGTGCAGTTTACAGTTAATGCAGCCTACGAAGAGATCTGGAAAAAACGTGTGCTGCCATCATACCCACATCTTACAGTCAAGGCTATTCGCAATTACCTGACTACGTCTGAGGACTGGGCTGAAGGAGGTATAAGTTATAAACTAGAGAAGGTTCTTTGCGCCCCAAGCATCTTCGACAGCAAGTTTGCAGAAAGAAGCATTGTCTCCTGCGCATGCGAAACAAGCGATTGCTGCGATGCAAACGATCCGGATTCCTGTTCGGACCTTGACGGTGATGATGATGATTCTACTGCTCTTAGCAAAAGAGTTTTAGATAAGAGAGCCTCGAGAACGTTCGATGTCGATTTATCAGACGGTGGAGCGCATGCTACGATCACTTCTTGGACGGTATTAATCTTCAAGTCCCAATCAACGTATTTTTAGTGCTAATCAGACGATCAGTATATCGTGCGTGGCAACATTCGAGGAAATAATCCCATCTTGGATGAAGGTTATACCTACGATGACGCTGAGGACTGCCTCAATACTCAAATCGCTTTGATGTCAGTTTCGATGGCGAATATCGGAAGATATCAGGGTACGTTCTTGGTGACCTTGTTTACCCTGAAAGTTTAATCAATTTACTAATTAATCAAGTCGAACATGTCGTTGAGTTGAACACCGTTGCCTTTTTCCTGAGAGATGCAGCCAATGGGGTCCTCAGGTCTGGTGGTGTGATGAGACTCGGTCGAATTTCAGTGACCTTCGTTAGACAGGCTCTGATGGCGCCAGTTCTTACCAACCCACCAGTAATGGCTGGTGCCGACCAATCCTTGACTCCCATGACCCGGATTATGCATGCTTTGGGTAGCCTGAACAACCAAGCTGATTTCAACCTTTTGCTTAATCGTTTGAACAACTTAAAATCCAGGGTATTTGATCATTTACAAATTTTGTTTTTCTGGAGATGACCAAGTTACTTATCATTTCTTTTCTCTAGCTCTGGCTTTCAAAAACACTCGTCGCTGATGAAAAAATGGAGAAAGCAATCTCAGCCGATGACCCGAATCGCGCATTGATACATCTCCGCGAGCCCCTCACTATTATTTCCTACCTCAACCATCTCAGAGTCCAGCCTGACATGATCGACACTTTTAACACAATTCACGTGGAATTCGGTCGAGCAGATACGTACTGGGTGAATGCTGGACATCCAAACCCGCAGTCGCAAGCCAGATGGGATGAATGGGTTCCTGACTTATTAGATAGTGCCACTCAGAATGTTCGCACGTTTGTTGAAAATTGGGGGGATCAGATGTATAGGTTTTGGGCAGTCCGGACTGGTGATAACGTTGCGCAAACGCTCGAGATCATTATGACTTTGCGAAGACAGGCTAAAACTGCGAGGATTAATCCGAATGGCCTGGATTGAAAATATCAAATGACTAGTTATATACAAGATGTAGTTAGAAGAAAAATGAACTGAATTTATTTGAGCAATGGGACATGCAATTCAACCTCTCATCTTTCACCCATTTGTAGCACCCTCCATATCTAAAGCAGTTGGTGGCGTATATGCTGAATTGAGTAGCTCAATTCACCGAATCAGGAATCTCTCTTGCGACTGACTTAGTGCTTTATTGGTGGCTGTAAGGCCTTTTCCATTTGACCTGCCCTGCTGCCGGCTCCGGAGCTTTCACTTTGACACGCCAAAATGAGAGGCTGCGGCCTGAATACTATTAAATTGGCCTAATTTATAGGCTTTGAGGGCATCCCAAAGAAGGATCTCTTCTTGTTCGGAGAAAATCGGCATTTTTTTGGTGGTAAAAGGGGCTCTTGGAACCGACTCTGCAGGTTCTTCAAACACTGCAACTAGGGAAGCTCCGTGACCTGCGTATCTTATGCAGTTTTGGTTCGTAGTTCTAAGTATTCGTCTTACGCCACTACACAGAAAGAAGAAATAGAAGTCAAACAGATTAGGCAGAATTCAACGCAATATAATAACATTTAACTAAAATTCTGTCTTTTCTATAACTTTTGATATTCATATAAATCTTCCTCTCTTCGTATACGCTTCGGAACCCGCCCAGATATACGCCTGTGGGCACAGCTTTTCTCTGAAAGAGGTATCCTGTCTTGTTCAATAAGCAGGGTACTAGGTATGGCTGTTGCTGTTGGTTCGATTCTTGGTCTCTTGCCAAGGACACTCTCGTCGGTTAGCTGATTCCGCTCAAATGTTGTATCAGGGTAGTCCTTTTCCTCCTCCTCCTCATTATCGCTCATCAGATCGAACACTTCCTTTTCATAACTATGACCTTGCCAAGTCGATTCGCCCGCAAACGACTCTGGTGCCCCCTAGGCCCCCAAGGTCACTAGTAGATCTCAGCATCTCCAGTCAGAGTCTAACGGTCCCTTTAATGGACAGAATAGATTACCTAGGTAAATTCTTGGATAAACAAGATCCAAAAACACCGAAAGAGTTGAACCAACAAATAGAAGCTTCCGAAGATATCAGCATGCTGGTTGGCTTTTGTTTCTCAACCTTAGAAAAGGGAAGACTTCGCTACAACATTAAGAAACCTCAAAGCTAATCAACAGAAAGCCCCAAACAATTGGCGAGGTACTGCGCACTCCGCACTCCGTACACTAGGGCAAGCTCAAAGATTGTCTTGGTAAACTCGGTTGGGGTTTCAAATGTTGGCTTGGCAGCACGTGTTTGGAGACTCAGACTTTCCCTCCTCTCTTCTCCACTCCCCTCAAATTTCACGCGAACATCAGTTCAACATGGACGAGCTCCAAAATAGCCTTGGCACTTACCCAGACTGGGGATATGTCATCTATCGCACTACCTACTCTGCTGAATCGGAAACTCTATTCCCAGTCGCTTTCAGGTACATTGAAGCCTGTATTAAGAGATCATTCCTCCGAGACCACAAAGAAGATCCTACAAATAAACCCAACGAAATTTGCGCCAAATACCGGTCGACTATTGTGCAAGATCCCGCGGAATTCAATGGGGCGTCTCTCGAGGCAATTCGCGCTCATTTTGAAGCGTGGGTGGAATCTCAAGGCATGCGTGACCGCTGGACCAAATGGCGAATGTGCATGATTATTGATGAAGAATCTCTGCAAACGCTGAAAGGTACATCAGCAGAGGCCCTTGAAAATGAGAGCCCATACCATTCCGATGATGAGCTACGATGTGTAAAGGTTCTTGAAGCATTCCCGGAAACAGATCAGTATGACACCTTTCCGGGGTGGATGAGATGTTGGACACGGTGTCTTTGGGATCTCTGGATGATGATGGGAGATGCTAGTGAGATGAGGCAGTTATTTGACGGCATTGATGATTTTCCATTTGAGGGGGTGTACTGCGGATAATTCAAAGCTGTTTCGGTCTGGCATTAGAGATATGTGATTCTCAGGTTGTGGAAAATATTGTTCGACGGGCAGTCAAATAAAGAAGAAACACATTTTTCATTCATTGATCGCGACAATTTATGATTACAACATGAGGCCCACTGTGATTGCAATCCACATGTTTAAGGTAAACAGGAGTACGAACAGTAGCTACATCCCCTAAACAAAAGACCATTTACATTTACGACCAACCGCAGAAAACGCCGTTGGCAGAATAGATAATATCTACATTAAGTCGCTCGGTTCGTTGTCGGGCAAATAAATAAAGAAAAGAATTATTTTGTAATTTAAATTAAACGAAATCGCAAAGAATGTGAGTGTTTAACCAGGTGCCCAATTCAGAAAAATATGTTCAATATTTGAAAATAGGAAAAGAAACTTGTTGAGACTACATCCAAATGGTCATTATTCTGCGTACTGTAGAAATTCCGTCCCTTTCGGCCCTTTAATCCATATAGAAGTAGGATTTTGGACAAATGCATTACCGATTCATTGTGGAACGAAAATTGACCGATCTGACCGCAATTAGATCATAAAATTATAGGGAAACGAAATTGATCGTTGACCATTTATGCGACCGTTCAACGGTCAACGTGAGGAAAGCGGCGGGCGGTGAAACTGTGACCGAGCTTTCAATTAACCATGCTTGAGAGAGGTGTGCAAAAGTTGTGGTTGAAATATAGCTGGGCCGAAAAGATTGGCTAACCTTCCCCACCGAAAGCGTAGGTCCGTGCATTTCCTAATACCTTCGTACCCCCCAGGTCTCCGACAAGAAATTATTTCAACCTGCTGGAATGGTCTCCGCTCCATTCCGAGTCCCCGGGCTAGACCGGAGAAGTTGAACTATTGTATCCTCCTCTCCAGTGGTTCACTAGTTGTGTACGACGAACGTATTATCCACGTGATTGTCTGCTTGCTTCCCTTGACATTTTTTAATAGTACGGATGGGTCCTAGAAACGCCATCTCACAATTTCTTATAAATTAGTGTAAACTCCTACTTGATATCGGTTATAGAATTCGTGGAATCTGTTCATGGTAAGCATCAACGCAGACAGAGTCCGAGCTGGAGAACTGTGATGTCAAATGTGGTTAGCGTATCTCTTAGTCTTGCTGAGAATGCCACTAGACCAAAATAGGCAACACAGTGTTCGTTATCCCTCATCGCTATCTCCTGCCATTATTCTTCCGCACCAAAATTTCCACGTGATCTTCAAATATAATGAATACTTAATGTACCATCTATTGGATTCGACAATACCCGACTTACTATCTAATAGACTTTCTCGGTACCTAAATTAATTGGCTCTCAGGCCTGCTTCGCAGTAACTAAGTAGTATGTAGTACAACTCCGCGAAGGGTCGGGGTAAATGAAATCTACTACTACTATACAATATTCATACAAAATACTACCTTTGACGAGTCACTTCCAGCACTCAGACACCACGCTTCTTTGCCTGAGACATATTATCTCTCTTACGGGCTCTCTGTTACGGGCTTATTGGCACCTCTCCAGGGCCTCGGACAAACTCGTCGGGTGAAATCTGTATATGCGATGAACGGACCACAAAGCTTATCTAGATTCCCCGTGGTCCTCAGCCAATGATTAGCCGTGGCCTGACTAAACCAGCCAGTACAAAAATGGCTTGGGGAGTCTACTCAGAAAAAATCCCCTGAGTAGGAAGGGTGAAATGACCTAAACCGAAGGAACGGAGTGAAAGGGGTTTACAAACCGCTGGTCTGCGCGAGGCTAACTTGAAGGCTGAGTTGACGCTGCGTTGCGCCAGATTTCGCGCCAAGCCTCGCTCTCATCTGTCACGGTGTTTTATCCTGCAAGTCACGTGAAAGTCACGTTTATTTGTCATCTGGGGTGTCTGAGTCTTGGGTGAATGCGCGTGACAGGTGGTGGAGAATGTTTTCTGACCAATCATATCCAAGAACACACTCCTACTTCAGCGTTTAAAAAAGAAAATGAATGAAGTATCAATTTATTATTCTTTTCAACCAGTTGTACAGTATGTGTGTGTGTGTGTAATTCATTTACGCTGACCTCTCGTCGAACGATATGCAGCCTACCACTACTATATATATCTTCCTATGTACATAGACCGTGTACCACTTCCTAAGCGAACTTTGAGCCTCGCCGAGGCCTGCCGTGGCCTCTGTGCCGTCATTATATTTATGCTGCCCTCATGGCGCGCGGCTTTGAAACCGTTGCGATGCTTCAGCAAAATCCAAGACGGCCTCCACCGTTTTGGACCGCGAAGCACTATCAATCTTACCTCTTCCTTCCTCACCAGGTCCTCCTAACAGAGTCGAGATGCTGTTAAACGCGTCACCAACCTTTTCTCGAAGCTTTCTCCTTAATCCTCCCAGTCCTGGCAGATATAATATTGCATTGGTATACTAAGATCTAGTCTGTTCTTTTAAGCCAATACAACGGAGAGATGGGCAAATTCCCCCCCATGCTTTCCTAGCTCCTTATCCAGCTCACTAGTACTCTTATTCCTAGATGTCCGTAGATCCTCTTGCCTTCAAGATCTTAGCCTTTGGGGTTCCAGCAGGACCGAAAACCTTCCCCCACACTCATATACCCGTTTGCTCCTTAAGCCCACCCTCCAGGCCAAGTTGCAGCTCTGCTAAGTCCCCTTAGGGTCACGGCATAACAACCTTCCTGCTTCTTGTGAACCGACATGCGCATCCGTCCTCTCGGGCTATACTGACAGTGTTGTAAGGATCTCTAGTCGGCAGCCGATGGCGACGCGCCAACCTTCTTCCTAGCCATCGTTGCCATAGTATACCTCAGTCCACAAGTTGGCGTGATTTCTTGCTTCCTGATACCTAGTATCCTCTCGTTCTCTAGGCCGACCATGTCTTGCAGATGGTCTCTTTATACACCCAGGCCTGCAGCGTATAATCTTTCCATCCACTAACCAAAGTATCCTCCGATTCGAGGTAGGGAGCCAGCAGCCGATGGCGATACACCTTAGCCCTAATCCCACAAATCCAATTCT